ATATAGGACAAGTTATTTAATACGTGTCAATCTAGATTAAGTTGTGTTAAGTTTCTGTAATATCGGTTTTTCTCTACTGTCATTTAAAAATGTACTATTAAGTACTTTGAATATTACGAAGATAGTGGGTTAGAACAGAAAATGTGTAGGAGGTAACCTAGGACGGTTGGGGTGTGGTTCTTTATAAAGAAACCGATCTTAACGACATTTGGGGGATAATTAACAGATATGTGCGGAATGTAAAAAGCTATTAGCTCTGTATTAGTTAGGGTGCATGATTTGACTGTGTAGGTTCACCGAAGTTTGACATTCATGGTATACAACTTTTGGGCACGTAATTTCATAGGCTACACCGGCCAACTAAAGAGATTCAGATTTAAGTCTCATTTATTTCACCGATTTGAGTTTAGAATTTGAGTTTTGTTACAGTGAAAAACTATCAGAAATAATCATATTTATTTTTTTTGCTACCGTAAAAAGCTCTCACATAAAGTCACATTTCAACTTAAATTAAAAACTCAAATTAACTAACTAAACGGGCCCTTAGATTGTGTTTAAGAAAAAAAACATTAAAATACCAGTTTGTAAGAGTTTGTGTTTTTATTTTTAAACAGTAAAAGAAGATAAGTATAAGTTAAAGACTTTAACAATTAGTGCTTAGTACATGCAAAAGAGGCCTTTTTTTTAAAAGCGCTACAATGGTCCATATTTCAACCTAAGATATTTATACATATGATAGTAGTAACTCAAAGTCAAAAAAGTATAATCAATAAAGCTTAAAAATGAATTATTCTACACGAAATATCTACACTGGCCATGACCGTTTTCTTTTTCAGTATATGTTCTAAAAAATATTATATATATATATATATATATATATATATATATCACAATTCCATTACGAGGAGTCTAATTATAGTTTCCCTTCTTCCTGAAAAGTGAAAAGAAGGCAATGTATTAATTGTTTGCTTCTGTTGATGTACTTCCAACTATTATTTTGGTTCTCCTCCTCTTAGTGATGAGAGTAATCGATGATATATTCATGGAAAAATATCTTACACCAAAAAAGATCACTTCTATTCTTTTTATTTTTTAAGAAATGATAATATTAAAAGACTAATGTTATTTATTTTGGTAATTTTCTAGCTGCAAGAAAAAAAAAAGTTTTTGCACTTGGTGTTACATCTGGGTCCAAAGATTAATAGTTATTACTTTTACTTTTTTTTTTTTGTTTGAATAGAAAGTTATTACTTGTACTTACAGCTTTACTTAGAACGATATTAATCACACTAACTTTCTCATGTTATAAAGCTGTCAAGTTCAACATTAGGGGGAAAAAAAATCTCAAGTTCATATTCACACCAAATCAAGTTAAAAATTTTGAAGAAAAAAATTGTCCAGTTAGATAGAAACTCCTTAACCGCGCATCAAATAAATAAAGAATAATGCTAAGAATATCAACTCAAAAATTAAATTTTTGAGTACTAATTTACATAACACGTGATGTGTAATTCTATCTCATATGTCAACACTTATTTTGCTAATATACTCCTAAACTACTTTCAAAATCTAAATTAATTAATTTACAGTATAATGACGTTTCTGATTCTATCTAAATATCGAACATCACAAATCATTAACGGTAGAAGAACCAGTCAGTTTGAAGTCGAAGAAGCCCACGTAAGCTTCCATTCTTAATCTTCTTTTTTTTTTTTCCTACCTTTTGTCTTTTACTGAATTCATATATATCAAATCTCCTTTTTATTGTTTTTTATTTCATCTTTATCGACTCTTCTTTATGGAAGTCATTGTGGTGGACAATGTTGCCGTTGAGTGACGTTAATAATTGGCCGATATGTTCAGCTCCGTAGGACTCCGTATCTTATAAAACTCGAATTTTAAAGCATAATTAACCTTAATTTAGGAGAAACCAACAGCTTTAGGCCCACTTAGTACGTAATCTGCCATCCACTACAGAGACCAAAATGACCAAAGGCTCCATTTGTAAGCAACTACTCTCTATTTGAGCTAAATTCTAGTTAAAATGACTAAAAAATTATTTTAACAAATAATTTTTAGTGAGTCACTCCAACCATACTCTCTATTTTAATTAAATATAAATTATTTTAATATTTATTAAATTTAAAATATGAATAATTTATTTAATTTAAAAAAGAACATTTACATTTATTATGACTTGAAAGAATAAAAAAAATAGAAAAATAAATAGCTAGACACTTCTTTCTAATTATATTTAGCTATTGTGAAATGCATTCTCTAAAATAGTTAACCATTTAACTAATGGTTGGAGTGGAGAAAAACTAAAAAAAAAAAAAAAAAGAAGCTAATCATTAATCATTTTAACTAAAAACATGAAATGACTTGTTAGAGTTGCTTATACATGTACAAAATTATATTTAATATGCCCCTTTTAGAAGAACATTAATATGCTTTTTAATTATGTGTGTCTTGTTTTGTTTTGTTCCCATCCTGCTTTCTTAATCCCAAAGCCCTATACCGATTGTATTTCACAGGCTTACTTTGTTAATATACTCCGTTAGGCTCCATTTGTTCATAAAGTTCCAAGCTTTTAATTTTGTAAAGATAAATATTTTATATTTTAAAATTAGTAAATAACAGTATAGTAATTGTATCAAGCGAAATAGTCAACAAAATAATAAATAAAAAATCAAATGCCAAATTTGGTATGTATTATGATTTGTGCTAAATTTGAAATGAAGTATAGTCTGGACTCAGGACCTACTCTACCTTTAGAAAAAAATAGGCAATTGCCTAAGGTCCCGTTTTATAATTAGGATTCGCAAGTAATTAAGACTCCTGTATTTATTTAGAAGAGAGATCAATAGCCAAGTTTTGTTGTTTAATATACATTAACAATTTTTAGACCAAAACAATTATTGGATAAAGTACCTTGAATACACAGTTTTGATTAATAATATTTTTGTATCTTAAAGGCAATTAGAAAAATAACAGGTTTAATTAATTAGTTATCAATAATTTTTTTATTTTTTTAATTGAGAAAAAGGTTTCTCTTTAAATTTTCGCCTAAAACCTCAAACTTGTTTGAGGCTGCACCAGCTATAGTAATGTATTGTCTTAGAAAAAAATTATATATAAATAATGTATTAATTGTTCTTATTATTTTTTTCTCTGTTAGATTGAACATATTTTAGCTTGATGGGGAGATTTGTTGTTAGAAAGAATAATCCGTTTGAGTCGGTGAGATTTTACAAACTTCCTTAATATAAAATCTTAGTGCTATAAATCATGTACACATTTTAAATTTGAAGAACGTATATGATAAACACAGATAATTTCTCGGGATATATACAACATTTTATCTGTCGTTTTACCTTTTTTTTTTTAACCAGCCTCACTCTAACATAGTTAATCTCTAAATTTAAAGTTATCTTAAAAAACACATATGATATATATCTATATATATATTTATTTATATTATAGAGAGAGAGTGAGTTTAAAACTGTAGATCTTTACAGAGATATCAAAACCAGTCGTATACAGGAACCAAGTTGCGGCTGGGCGAGAACGCCGCAGAGTTTTTGAAACATTTTTTTTTTTAACTGTAATATTACAAACACACATACTCATCATACTCAAAATTACTTCTGAGACTGCTTGAATAGCATTTTAAGAGAGCTCTCGTTCATTTCGCTGATTTGAGTTTAGAATTTGAGTTTTGCTACTGTAAAAAGTTCTCACAAACAATCATATCTAACTTTTTTGTTATAGTAAAAAACTCTCACATAAAATCATATCTCAACTCGAATAAAAAATTCGAATCAACGAACTAAACGGGCCCTTGAACATTCAGAAAAAGCTTCTAATTTTAGACACATCCCCATAGGCCTATAGTAGCACTGGGAGTACTTTTTTGTACTCTTTTTATACATTTTTTGAGGTCCTAGGTAGATTTTGAAATTTCTAGAAACTAAATGGGTCCAAGGTCACAAATGACCTAACACATTATTATATCATCAACACCTAAAGCAGGTTATTAATAAAACAAAACGAGAAAAACTATACAATATTCTGGCGCCCCACTGAATAATATAGTAAAATTAAAAGAATAGAGACTTTCCCTACACGTATTGATTTTGTTATTTTGGTTAATAATACCCTTATCATACTAATATATATATATAATATATACACGAAAAAGGACATTATACTTTTGCCCTAGGAAGAAAAGGGCATATATCTATACTTTTTCTTAATATACAAACAACTAACAAAGAAAGGTCACTCTCTACAAATTGAGCTCACCCCACTATAGGTGCAATATAACTAGCTAATTAACGAGATCAAGCTTATAGCTTATAAAACAAAACAAAACAAAACCAAAGCAAAAGATGGTGAATAAATTAATTAGCTCAATCTGGTGGTCCTCATGTGCATTCTAGGGGAAATTAAACATGGGAGAGGTGAACCAATCATTAGCCATTTGACATGGACAGGCAGGGGGGGCATGACGTGGTGCCACGTGTCAGTATCTTAGAGGAGCCAAATGGCAAAGGGCGGCTCACCAACCAGACAAGAGGAGCTGGATTGTGGGAGGAGCTAATTAATATGTGATATGTCATATATATTGTGATATAGAGAGAGAGAGAGAGAGATAGAGAGAGAGATGATCATCAGCTTTGTGTCAGGTCTTTTTGTGTTTATTAATGCAAAAAGGTCACAAAAAATATGAATAAAGAAAGAAAATGTGTCTTGGTAAAGAGTGGAAAATCTTAGGACACAAAATAGCGGTGGGAGAGATCAAGGGGAGTGAGAGGGGGGGTGGTGTGGTGGCGTGAAAACTTGGTGTCACGCCGTCCAAACAAACCTTTGAACCCAATCTGCCCACCCCACGCGCAATCAATAAGTAGTACACCTCTCTCTCTTTTCATATATATATATATATATACATATTTATATATTTGCTATATCCATATAAATAGAAGATTTATGATCCATAACACACCAACAAACAGAATTCGAGATCCAATATTTGTCTCTCTTTCACGTATTTAAACCCTCTTCTTCAAGAACTACCACATCCTCTTCTCTTCTAGCTGCACTGCTTTCTCTTCAGCCAAAAACTACTTCTCTCTCTCTCACTTGTTTGGCTAGTACGTGAGACATCATCATCTCCAGCATCACAAACAATTAATCTTGAATTTCATGTGAGTATTTTTGGTCCATCAGATGCAATAATATTCAGAATATTAATATTGGATAGTTTGAATATTTCTGCATGGTTTTGTGCAACCCATATATACGAACGGCCGGTTTTCTAGCAAGCTCTTTTTTTTTTTTTCAAAAAAAAAAAAGAAAGAAAGAAGAAGAAGAAATCTTAATCTAAAATTAGTATCTTTGTTTTTTTTTTTGTTTTTGTTTTTTTTGTTTTCTTTCTTCTGGTTAGGAGAAGACGAAAGTCATATATGCAACGCTTTAGGTGTCAACTTAGTTGATATGTTTTTCTTATTACTGATGTTAGTTATTTTTTTTTATATAGATAGTCATTTATCTAAAGAAAAAAAAAAGTTTAAAATAGTACTTGTAAGTTAGAATCCAAAGTGTTTGTCTTTCTATGTCGTTTGGAGAGTTCTAGTAGATATTACAAAGCAAAAGACCCCGTGTGCGTCTTTTTCTAAGAAACGGGACAGAACTTTTGCGTTTAAAATTGTTTAGAAACTGTCATGTCTGACTGGATAACATGTTTAATTAAATTTAATATGTAGTAATTAATTGCAAAAAACAAAAAAATAAAAAAAGGAAAAAAGAAAAGAAATTGACGAGCGTGGTGGGGATGAAAATGCTGTCCACCAACAAGATGTATGAGAGGGAATAGCTTAGCTAGCTTAGGCCGGAGTGCACTGCACTCAAAGAAATGTAACATGCTTTTGCCAGCAAAGTCAAGCTTTTCGGCAAACCACTTTTCTGTTCAATTTACTTTTTTTAAAATTTTTTTTTTTATCATGCAACTTAATATATAGCAAACAAAAACAGTACTACTACTGCTGCTGCTGTTTATGAGTAGTTTTGTTTGGTGGGTTCCATTACTAATTGTCTGCCATTTTTTTTTCTTTCCTTTTGTATGATATATATATATGTGTGTGTATATATATATATATATATATATATATATAGACCACTTCAGGTGGGTCCAACAAATGAAATCATCATCATGGCATCAATATCCTCTTCATGATCACTTAGCCTAGTACTTAAGCTTTTCAATTAAGAGGAATTAATACATTGAAGGCATAAGAATTTTTTTTCTTTTTTCTTTTTTCTGAAGTTAATTGAAGACATAAGGATTTACTATCATGTGTTGGCTAAAATGCATGCGTGTGGAAACTTTGGGTTTCTCTGGGATTATACCTAATCAAATGAATTCATTTTTCACTCAAGTTAGTTAGTTGTTATTGATTTTAGGGTAAGCTAGGAAAGCAATAACTTTTGTGTGTGTGTGTATGTTTTTTTTTTCTTTTTTTTATTATATCATATATTGGTTTATTTTATGGTCGGAATTATATGAAATTAAGCTAATTAATGGAATTTGTATACATTTATTTTTCATTTCTTTTAATATATAATAACTCTCCTTAGAGGGATTCATTAAAAAGAGAAAGTAATGCACTGTACATAAGGTCAAAGACAAATGATAATGTTCTTGACGTTGAATGCAACATATATTCTTTCTGATCTGAACATAAATTTTTTTGGCTTGTCTGTTTCTCAGAAGAAGATCATAAAGCGATGGAAATGGAATCTTGTGTCCCGCCAGGCTTTAGGTTTCATCCCACAGAAGAAGAACTTGTCGGATACTATCTCAGAAGAAAGATTAACGCACTCAAAATTGATCTTGATGTCATTATTGACATTGATCTCTACAAAATAGAGCCATGGGATATCCAAGGTATTTCCAAAAAAAAAAATTATGGCTTGGGGTTGCACTATTGGCAGATTTTAACATATCTAAGGAAAAGGAATGTGTTACTTTTTTATTTATATATTTTATTGCAGTAAAAGAAACATTTTAAATATTTAAATTTATTTAAAGTGAACATTTACATGTAATAAAGAATAAAAAATTATTCTTGAAAAAAAATTCTATATAGCTAGTTATCTAGAATATCTTAGAGTCTTTGAAAAATTCCGAAGTGAGAAATTAGAAAGCAAATAATGAAAATAGAATAAACTTGTTAGTTGGAATACAGAAAAATGCACTGAGGTACGCCTTTTAATTTAGTCAAAATCTACTTTCTGTAATAAGTAATATATATATATATATATATACTTTCACGTAATTATTGTAAGAGATTAAGTGGTTTTGATAGTAAAGATATCTAAATAATTAGGAAAAGCTTGAGAGGACTGTAACTAGTAAGAAGAATAGACCTTAATTATATGTGGAACCCACTTTTTTCTATTAGTGACCACTATCTGGACAATATGCTAGAATGACTATCCAACAAAGTGAAATTAGCAAAATGATATTCTTCTATTTTTTACGAAGAAAGATACTTAATCATTCTTTGTAAAAAGATGTCATTTTGCAAATAAAAATTTTAAAAAAATTATTTTACTAATAAAACTTTTCTATTAAGTTATTTTTACAAAGGCATCCCGCTATCTCTAGTATTACTCAAATAAGTGAATTGAAAATTAGGGTATCAAAATAAAAATGATATGTGGTGCTCGCAAGAGTTGGCGACTCATATATTCTCACAAGGGTGTGCCCACAAAGACAAGTGGTGCCCGCTCATGTGAAAGCCTAATAGCAGTGCTCGTTTGAAAATAATATTTTTCCAAAATCACACTTATCTAATGAATTGTAAAACTCCGCTAGTGTGAGTAGAATGAACTACTTAAACAAATATAGCCCCCGTTTTGTTTTATAAATTCGAACTACTGTTTAAATCTTTTTGTTACAGTATTTTTTCTCATAAAATTTAAATTTCCGTTCAAATTTATAAAACCAAACGGGTCAGTAATTTACCCTTGGTGCAGAAAATTTTCATGCAAGTTTCTATCGTTTAAGTTAAGAAAAAAAGGATTATGATACTACTTGTGCATGTTCTTATAGTTGTTTTTCTTTTTTGATGTTAATTTGCTACGTGCAGCGAGATGCAAGCTAGGGTATGATGAACAGACTGAGTGGTACTTCTTTAGTCACAAAGACAAGAAGTACCCAACTGGAACGCGGACTAATAGAGCCACAGCTGCTGGATTTTGGAAGGCAACAGGAAGAGACAAAGCTGTGCTTTCAAAGAACAGAATCATAGGGATGAGGAAGACCCTCGTCTTCTACAAGGGACGCGCGCCCAACGGACGCAAAACCGACTGGATTATGCACGAGTATCGACTTCAAACGTCCGAGCATGCGCCGCCGCAGGCAAGTAATTCTACTCTTTCTGTGCCACCTTCACACTATACAAAGTGATAGAACGAGTATACAAAATTCTACATATATATATATATATATATTGGTCTGCCGATATTATATATACTACTAGAAAAGATTCGGGAATAACGTGAACGTGTCATCAGTACCAGTTGATTTGGAAAAATTTTTATAAATGTTTCCTTTTTAAAAAAAAAAAAAAAATCCTTCGAGATAGTAGAAATTAGTGAATGCCAATGTACTAGAATTTTTATATGATGCTAGTTGTTCCTACGCTACCGAGTTTTTTTTTTTTAAAACGTCATTTTGTGTCTAACATATAACCATGATCAAAATCCAGTCATCACCAAGATTTATGAGGAAATACAAACCTCCCAACATATAATCAATCTATATTAATAATAATGAGGAAAGACATAAAAGTTGACGAACCTTGTAGTGCCTGGTGAATAGACCTCTAAATTGTACCGTGTCAATTGAGTCTCTTAACTTTTTGGGATTCTTAAATTTTGAATATTACAATTCTCATGTGTTGTGTTTGCTTGGTCAAAGTTTCTCATGCATGATTGGTCATTAGTTGTTCAACCCCACTTTAGATTTATATATATGAGGTTGAATTGACTGAGTTATTTATAATTCAGCATAAAATTTTTAATCTTTTGGACTGGCTGAACCTAAGTCCTTAAAGAAATATTTTCCTTTTTGAAATCATGAATCAAACTCTTTTGAAACCAAAACTTAAAGTGAAAAAATAACTAAAAATATTGCTTAAGCTAATGGATATTGATCTCATGTTGTGGTTTTGCAGGAAGAAGGTTGGGTTGTTTGCCGAGCATTTAGAAAGCCAACCCCTAGCCATCAAAGGCAAGGTTTTGAAGCTTGGAATCACGGCTACTATGCCAGAGAAAATCATGCCAACGTTGCGTTTCCTTCGTCTGTCGATTTCGCTGAAGAAAAACACGCAATTAATCCGAATCACGCTGCGAGTTTTCATCATTGTTTTGCTTCAGTTCAAGAACTCGTCTCCAACAATAACTTTTCAGATATTCAACTTACTCATGAAGCACTTCCGCAGCTTGATAGTCCGTCCATTTCTGCGAATTTGACGAACAACAACAACAGTTTCCAGCATAACAAGAGCATAATCAACGACGATAATTATGACACCGAAAGAAGCAATAGCAGCAGCCAATATATTGACTGGAAAAATTTGGATAACTTGCTTGCTTCACCACTGATCGTGGATCCGGTGACGTCGTTCGCGTGTTCTAATTTGCCGGCGTCAATGGCCTCCCAAAGTTACCAGCAAGATACTCAAAACCACCATTTTCTTGGATGCTTTAGTGACTCGTAACAAAGTGTATATGTAAGTCGTCCGTGGTCATAGTTTTACGTTGTATGCATGGTTAATAGAAGGTTAAGGCTAAAGATAAAATGTTGACTATTGAATGTGTCGCAATAAATAATCCATGCCTAGCCAGTAGGAACAGGGTTAGCTATATTTGCTCAGGAGTTGTTTTCAAGATTTATGTATATGCATGCTTAGCATGCACTAGAAAAGAACAAAATATATGTACCTTTCACGAAGAAAAAAGGAACCCTGCAAATTAAGTGGGCCACAAGTTTGGGAGTCTAACTATATGAATGTTTTTTTTTTTAAGTGAAACTATATAAATGTATTTTTATGTGAATAAAAAATTGTGTTTCATTTGGCTAACATGCAGTAGTTTGTTTTTTGAAGGATACATGCACTAATTTTTGTTGATACACACGCACACATATAACTCCTGAAATCTTTTGTAGCAATATACATTTACTATAAACAACATAATATAAATTCATTTTCGAAGATGCTTAAATAATATTCGTTTCTTTCTAAGTTGTGTATAGTGTAATAAACATTTTATACTCTTAAAGAGTTTGTTTTGGTCACTTTAGGTAGTCTATATATTCATCATTTTTCTTCTGCTTTATGGAGGCCAAATATCTTGTTATATTCACTATTATTTTCAAATTAATAGGTTTATAAAACTTTCTTTTGTGTGGTGTTTATGTTGCCTTTACTTTGTCCTTTGAAGATACTGAAAGTAATGGTTCTCTTTTGACAAATATTACATAAGTAACTATTTTTCAGCATGTTTGAAGTAGTTCAATTCATATCTTAAAAGCTTCAAATATTAAAGTTTGTAATAATTTGGAGCATTTTACGATGAATAGGTTACATCCTTTCTTTTTTCGCATTTTGGTGGTCTTATATAATATAAATATCTTTCTAAAAGGTTTAAAAGGTTTTTTTTCCCAACCCGAATAGAATACAGATAAAGCACCTATTTTTATATTTAATGATGTAGGTCCACTTCATATATATGAGTGTTTGAGGATTTTCTGGATTGGTTTGTACTAGTGATCATTATATATAGATATGGATATTCTCAGTTCTGTGATGAAATTCATGAATGACTTTTTTTTTTCCCTTTCTTCTCTCTTTGTCATGATCTTCAGAAGCGAGCTCAAAAGCAGCTTATAAAGGTGTTGTTATAGCTCAATTTTATCGAGTCTAAGTAATAAGCTTTCCACGTCATTATTTAAAGGCTGCAAGGCTTAGGCCCCGTTCATTTCGCTGATTCGAGTTTAGAGTATGAGTTTTGCTATAGTAAAAAGCTCTCACAAACAATCACATCTAACTTTTTTGCTACAGTAAAAAGCTTTCACATAAAATCACATCTCAACTCGAATTAAAAACTCAAATCAGCGAACTAAACGGGCCCTTAATTCATTAACTCCAACACTTTAAAGAGCCTCAATAGTTAATTTTAAAAGTCAAAGGGCCTTGAATATCTAGCACTGGTGGAGTTTTACCATCAAATTAAATAGTAGGGAGTGCAAACATATAAGTTGAAACTCCAAACAATATGCAAAGCTAGAGTCAAGTAGCAAGAACTCAGGGCCCGTTTGATTTTGCATTAATTAATCAAATTTTTCCTAAGAATTTATTAGTGGAAACTTTTTATAAGAAAAAAATACCGTAATAGAATCAAAACCACATATCTAAACCTTTAAATTAAACGGGCTCTTAACGAGAGCATGAGACTGTAGAGGAGCATGAGACTGTAGGGGAGCACCCTAAAGATCATGACCAATAGTCATTAGTGGGTAGCGACCAGTTTAGAGCTATTCAAGACTGCTGCTAAGAGCTCTTATGTCTATCTTTCCTCCAAGTCATGCACGATAGCTCTTATCTTTTTGGACTGGCCAATCCAAATGATGAATTTGTGGTTTGCTCAAAGTTGCTATTAATTGAAATTAATTTGTGCAAGTTTGATGTTTTGTTGTAACCATATTTTTTTAATGAGTGAAAGTTCTTGTTGGAGATTTTTCTTTTCTGTTTTTTGATCGGTTGTTTGCGTTTGAGATGGCGGATTTCTATCTCTGTGTGTTTGATTGGGGTATCTTGTGGTTCCGATTGAATTTTGTTGAGTTTTTTGATTCCGATTTGGGTTTGTTGATGGAATTTTAGCTTTTGAATTTGTTTTGCCTGGATTTCGTTTTAGTTCACGAGTTTTGTGTTCTTTCTTTTCTCTTTTTGTGAATTTTAGGGGGGTTTTTTTAGCAAGTAATGGGCTTGTTCTTTTGGAGTTTAACTTGAGTATAATTCTTGAATTGAATTTGGGTTATAACTTGAGTTGAACTTGTAACTTGAGTTTGTGTTTGGTTGTGTACATTTGAGTTATGGTTTGAGATAAGAATCTTTTTGAGTTTGTGTTTGAGTAAGTCAAAACTTGAATTTGTATTTAGATAGTATTTTAATAAAAACTCAATGCTGATGAAAAATTTTAATAGGGTATATGGGTCAGGTTTTATTCATCTTTTCGTTGTCAACGGATAGAAAAAAAAATCATCTCAATCAGAATTAAAACGAAAAAGTTATAGCATTTTTAAGAATAGAAAAAATACTGTTCATTAATTTGAGTTCGAGTTGAAGGGGAAACTTGAACTCGAGTTTTAGTCCTAAACTCGAGTTTGAATTCAAGTTTAAACTCGAGTTTAAACTTAAAAGAACATGAACTCGAATAAAGTTATAATTTGAGTTGCATTTTTTTGAGTTTTTCACTCAAAAGAACAAGCCCTAATTTTTAGGTTTGCTTTGAATGTTTACTGAAGACTCTAGAGAATTAAAAAAAAAAAAAAAACTAAGGCCTTTCATAATTTAAGTTATATTTAGGGGTGTAAGTTTTCAGTCCAAACCCGTAAAACCCGGCCGACCCGACTTTATAGTTTTTTTCGGTTTAAAATGGTCCCAACCCGCACTGTGCGGGTTGGGGGGCGGGTTGGGCATGCTTGAACCCGCAATGCCCCGACCCGGCCGTTTGGAAGCTTAGCCCTACCCTAATGAAGCTTAGCTGTCCCTCGTCCTCACTCCTCCTCCGCCTCTCAGTCCTCACCTCTTCGCCTCTCGAGTCTCGCCTCCTCCTTCACCCTAAATCCCTCATCCCTAAATTACTCGTATTCTCCTCCAGTCCTCATTCTTCGTTCCTCATTCTCCATTCCTCATTCTCCGTTCCTCTTCTTCTTCTCAGTCTCTCACCGTTCGTTGTCGTTCCTCACAGCCACCGTTCATCATAAGTTCCTCTTCTTCTTCAAGTTTTTTTTTTTTTTTTTTTTTGAATCAGAGCAAACCAAACAGAAATGGGTTTGTGAAATTTGAATCTTTTTGTTGAAATTTATTACTTTGTGCTGGTTTCTGCTTTTTTTGTTTTCTATTTTTGATTGTCTGGTTTTGTTTCTGCTCGTGAGTGGAATCTTTTTGTTTCTGCTTGTTTGTTTCCAGCTGAGGAAGAAGAGTGAAGACTTTGAAGACTTTGGTTTCTGGTTTGGAATTCAGGAAGAAGAGTGAGCAATTGAAAACATACATGTTAGAATAACTTTCTTGAGTTTGCCATGTGTTGCCTACTTTCTTCAATGTGCGAGAACATTGTATTTCTTCAATACTTTTTGTAAGAGAACATTGTATTTATAAGAACAGAAGATACGAAAGGCAGAAGAAGTATAAGAAGTCCTATAGAACATGTTGAACCTTTTATTTTTTTTATTTCTTCTTGTAGTTAATTTGGAAGAATCCCATGTGGTTCTCTGTGGATTGAGAGGAATAAACGGATTTTTAATTATACTAAGGAAGATAGTGTGGATGTTTGGAAAAGTATTAAACTTTGGGTAGCATTATATATATAAACTTAGGGGATGAGATTTGTTTTTGTAGGGTCTTGTAAGTTTTTGGAAGATAGGCTGACATTTTGTTTCCTTTATTTTGCGTTTATGAGGACTCCCTTGTCCTCTTCATGTTTACCCATGATTTTTGAAATTAATGAAGCTAGAATTACAATAAGCAGAGATCATATTACAATATGGCCACTAGAATTTTTCATTTCATCGCTTGCAAACCGAACAAAGTATGTGTGTATGCATATTCTTATTCGTTAGATTATTGGCTTTTTATATGTGATATGTTGGCTTTTCACTAGACGTTGAAAATGTGATATGTTATCTATTTTTTAGGTTAATTTGCGTGCTAGATGGAAAAATTTATCATCCACCCGACAAAAACTTCTGAAAGCACTTGCAAGTCCTCTGCTGAAACAAAAAGTGTCTCTATGGCTAAAGAGCCCATTACCTTACCCACTCCCACACCCAGCCCTACCCATATACCTAATTTGGGCACTAAAATTGAAAACGAAAAAGAGGAGGGAGACAATAAAAAGAGGACGAATTCACAAAAAAAGTCTCCTGTTTTGGATCATTTCAAAATCATAGAGGGTGGAGATCCAAATGAGCCTAGGTGTAAGTGTATTTATTGTGGGGCAACATATGCGTGTGATAATAGGAGACACTGTACCAGTAGTATGAAGATTCACATAGAAAAGTAATGCAAGAAATACCCATATAGGAACCAAGACAAAAGGCAAAATACTCTGAGTTTCTAAACAAACACTGAAACTGGGAGTAGTCTTGTTGCTATAGGCTTTAACAAGGAGCATTGCAGAAAAGCATTAGCAAAAATGGTGATTGTAGATGAGCTTTCATTTAGGTTTGTTGAAGGTGAAGGATTTAAGAATTTTTGTCAAGTGATGCAGCCTAGGTTCTCTATCCCCTCCCGTGTTACAATTGCAAAGGACATTTACCAACTTTTTTTGGAAGAGAGGAAGAAACTAAGGGCTAAATTTAGTAAGGGCAGTCAAAGGATTTGCCTAACAACTGATTGTTGGATATCCGTGCAAAATATTAATTATTTGTGTCTAATTGCACACTACGTTGATAGTGAGTGGACTTTGTAAAAAAGGATTATAAACTTTTATCAAATTTCAAGTCACAAGGGAGAGAGTGTTGGTAAAGTCATTGAGTCATGTTTGCATGCTTGGGGTATTGAGAGAGTTTTCACTATGACTGTTGATAATGGCTCCTTAAATGACTCCATGATTACCTACTTGAGAAGGAAGATTAAGGGGTGGAAAGGGATTGTTTTAGGTGGGGAATTTCTTCATGTTAGGTGTTGTGCCCATATAGTGAACCTGATAGTCAATGAAGGTTTAAAAGACCTACATGATTCCATATCTGCCATTCGTAACGCTGTGAGGTATGTGAGGTATTCTCCGGCTAGGTTGCTGAAATTCAAGTCATGTATGGAGCGAGAGAAAATTGAATACAAATGTCTCGTATGCTTAGATGTCCCTACTAGATGGAACTCCACCTATATGATGTTAGATGCAGCCATTAAGTTTCAAAAGGCTTTTGAAAGATATGAAGAGGAAGATGACAAGTTTGTGTCTTATTCTCGGGAAGATGAGGGGGGGAAGCGAAAGATTGGGCCGCCACTTGATGATGATTGGAAGAATGTTAAGGTGTTTGTGAAATTTCTGAAGACTTTTTATGATATAACTTTGAAGTTTAGTGCCACTTTGAATGTCACTTCGAATTCTTACTTTCATGAGCTGTGTGAGATGCAAAACCAGCTATCTGAATTAAGCAAACAAGAGGATTCAATGCTTTCATCCATGGCTGTGAGTATGAAAAAAAAGTATGACAAATATTAGGGGAGTGTTGAGAATATAAATTGTCTTCTCTTTGTGGCTATTGTACTTGATCCTAGGTACAAAATTGATTATTTGACATATTATTTCTCTATAGTGTATGATTCTTCCACTTCTGAAACATTAGCAAAGAATGTGAAGGATACTATGTACCGGCTGCATAAGGTTTATAGTAGGGACAAAGGTGAATCTGTGGCTAATGCAAGTAGTGGGAAGGCGGCAACAATAAGTACAACAGAGGCAAAAATGACTCCAGAAG